TGTGTCCCGCAAGACTTCGGGGAGGGAGGGAAGGAGGACAACTTCCGTTTCCAAACGCCTAGGCAATCGCAACGGAAGTGGGAGCGGGTACCTGTCAAATTCGGCTACCCATTCTCCCTCCCCCCCCCTTGCTCCCCAAAGGTGCCAATCCTTAATGGGGAGCGGGGGACCAATCTTTAAAGCGGAACTTCCCCTTTTGGATGGAACTTCGCTTTAAGTCTAAGACTAAAGTAACCACTTTAGTCTTAGACTTAAAGCGGACTTCCATCCAAAAGGTTTGGTTTCTTTATTATTCAAATAACAAACATGTCATACTTACCTGCTCTGTGTAATGGTTTGGCATAAAGCAGCCCCGATCCTCCTCTTCTTGGGGCCTCCTCTAAAGCTCCTGACTCCAACCCCCTGCCGACTGCCTCCAGAGCAAGCAGCTTGCTCTGGGGGCACTCGTGCATGCTCGCTCCCGAGCCAGCCCTGTACGAGGTGTGTCCAGAAAGCAATGAAGCATTTTACAATTAAACATGGTCTCCTTCAAAGTATGCGCCGTGTGAGTGTACGCACTGCTCCCAGCAATTTGGCCATTCTTCATAGCATCCTTGGAAGTCTTCAAGTGGGATGGCATTCAGAACCTGCGTAGTGGCTCTTTGGACGTTATCCACACTACAAAAATGGTGTCCTTTCAAGCCCTTCTCCAACTTTAGGGACTTGAAAAAGTCACAAGGCGCCAAGTAGGGTGGATGGGGAAGGACTGTTTCAGCCAAAAACTACACAAATAACTTTTGGACCGAGAACTTCCACGTAAAATCATTGATGCACGGATTGAACAGTAGGAACACATTTCTTAGGGACAATTCCACCTGAATAAGAATAAAAAAAAAACAAAGACCATTGATTTGACTTTTGAGCTTTCTGGGGAGTGAGGTGACGCAAGTGCATGCGATTCAGAACTTTGCCTCGGGATCGTACTCAAACACCCAGGATTCTGTTCACCTGACTCAAAAAATCAGGCTCTCTCCAAACGGGCCAACGGGTCTTGGCAAACGAGTTGACGGTGTTCCTCCTGGTAAGGTGACAAGTTTTGCACATGCTTTTTCTCACGTTCAAATCCTGAGTCATGATTTCAAGAACAACTGACTTGACAATTCCCGGTTCGTCTGCAAGCATTCTGATAGTAAACCATTGGTCACGGTTGAGAACAGACCTCACTGCATCCACATTCTGTTGCAGTTTTGAAAAAGAGGGGCGTCCGGGCCATTGTTCATCTTCAACACATTCTTGTACTTCCGCCATCTGTACACTTGTGCAGATGATAGCGCAGCTTCTCCATAAGATTTCCTCACCAATTCGGATGCACTTTTACCCAATTTCACACAAAATGTTATCGTGTACTGCTATTCCAAACTCGCTTACATTTTTCATAAAACGAAGGCACTTGAACAGGGTGTCACAAAAAAGAATGTCTCGAATCTGACAGGGCTGGAATGCAACTGATCAGTGTTCTAATGTATACCTGTCACCCCATCCCAAGTGACCTTGGCCAGCTTCTCAGCTTCGCAGAGCCCTTCTCGAGTGTACCGCATTCTCCTTATAATCTGGACGCACCTAATATATCCATGAGACATACAGAGGCTCAGCTCCCTCCTCGCTGGCTGTGATTGACAGCAGCGAGGGCCAATGGCTGCCACTGCCATGTCTCAGCAATTGAGGAGGAGGGAGACCCGGGAAAGTCGAGGCTCTAGTCCACAGCACTGGATAACGATCAGGCTCGCTCGGGTAATTATTTGGCAGAGAGGGGGCTGAGGGGGAAGCTGCGCACTGAAGGATTTTTTTTTACCTTCAGGCATGGCAAAACCTTCAGCCTCTAGAACCACTTTAAGCCAATTGCACTAAAAACCATCAAAAAGGACTCACATTTTCCTTCCCTACCCCAACCTGGTGAATTTTACTTCTGACACAACAGTTTCTTTCAAAGTGCAAAAAAAAATTTTTTACTTACGTGGGTATGTTGTAGTCAAAACCTGCAAAAAAAAAAAAAAGAAGGCAATCGTCACAAATTGTAGACTAAAGTTAGGTATACATTTTTAGAAAACATTTGGTTTATAAAACAAAAAAAAAAAATAGATCCCCACAGTGCTATTGTATTCTAACAAGGGACCTCCCTTCCCCCACCAGAATACACTTGATCAGCACTGCGAGCACTGATTGAACGCTGATGTTCCACCAAGACCATTAGACAGAAGCTAGTTGTTAGACCTGCTTCTGTTGAACAGACAGTAGTACAGATGTACAGAAAGTTGTCTGGTTCCTGTTGAACCAGACAAATTTTTGGTACATGTGTACTGGGCTTATAGTGGTAGTCAACTCTCCTTTTAGATTTTTACCTACAGGTAAGCTTATAATAAAGCTTACCTGGAGGTAAAATTAATATCTCCTAAACGTGCTCTGTTTAGGACAGTGGTGTCCAAACTGCGGCCTGTGGGCCAAATGCAACCCTTTGCTTGCCTCTATCCGGCCCTCTGCATATTATTCCTCCCACTGACACCAACAAGGAGCTAACATTTCTTCACTAACACAAACTATGGGGCATTTTTACTTCCACTTACAACGATAGGCCACAATTCCTCCGACTAATATAAACAATTAGGTACTATTCCTCCAAGTAATACCAATGATGGAGCACTATTCCTTCCTATGATCCAATGATGGTGCACTATGCATTCCACAGATACAAATGACACCAATGATGGGACACCATTTCTCCCACCGATACCAAAGATGGGGCGCTATTTCCTCCCACTGGTACCAATGATGGGGCGCTATTCCCCCCACTGATACCAATGATGGGGCGCTATTCCCCCCACTGATACCAATGATGGGGTGCTATTCCTCCCACTGATACCAATGATGGGGCAGTATTCCTCCCACTGATTCCAATGACGGGGCACTATTACTCCTTCCACTGACTACAAGAACAATGTAATTTTTTTTTTTTTTTTTACTCCTACTGATGCTGGGACATTTTCTACTCCCGCAAGGTACTCTGGCTCCCTAAAGTCTTAAGGACGGTAAACCGGCCCTTTGTTTAGAAAGTTTGGAGACCCCTGGTTTACGAGATATTCTACAGAGCAGCAGCCAGTGACATCACTGGCGCATGCGCTCTGAAGGAACGGCATACCCGCAGCGTTCCTTCAGATCTGTGTGCCGTGGCCAAAACTCCCACGTGCGTGTACGGGAGTGACGTCAGCCACTGAAGCGGCCCGCAGTCTGCGGACCCGGAAGGAAGACCCGGTGAAGGTGGAAGTCTCCTGTAGCGGTGAAAGCGCACCGCTGGAGGGCTTCTTTTTAAGGTAAGTCTTTCATAATGTGACAGTATAACGATACATGCTAGCACATTATGACTTTACCTTGCGACACATAACCTATTTTTTGGGTCCCCCGAGTTTACTACCGCTTTAAGTGGTTGTAAAGTAGCACGGTTTTTTTACTTTTATGTATTCCAAGGTTAAAAAAAAAAACAAAACCTTCTGTGTGCAGCAGCACACATTTGAATGGACTCCAGTGCCCCATGGCACTTTGGGAAGAAGTCCCTGCGCTTAGGAAATCACAGCCCACGCGCGAACTGAGGTTCCCAGTGTGGTTGCGATTTCCAGTGCGGGCGGCGTGCCATTAGAATTAACCCACATTCCTCTCTGTGGGTGGTGCGGCTGCAGGTATTTGTGAGGGTCCCGCAGCTGCACCACCCGCACAGATATGAACCAAGACCGACTCTCTCCCTCCTCATTGGCAGTACTGTCAATCACAGTCAATCAGAAGAGAGTGGGAGCAGGGCCTCGCATTCGCAGAACTCTAGGAATGAATGATGAGGCTGTGTGGGCGGAGCATAAAGGCTGGGTGTCTGTATACTAGGAGCAACTGGTAAGAGATCTTGGGGCATGGGCCCCAGGGGTTGGGGTCTAGTGATGCCCACGTGGGATTGGGTATGTTCCAACATTTGAACTGAGGAAGCCGCTTGAATAAATGATGAAACAAAACACAGTAACAAAACTAAGTACGACATTACACAAGCCCAGTAAAATGTGGTTAACTACTATTAGCTATCCTTTATAAAGCAACAACCTTCACAAGGTGTCTTGTACAATAAAATATAAATAAAAATGTCCAAGCAAAAAGCAAATAGTACACTCCAAATATACATAAAAGCAAATATCTAGAGGAACAAAGTTGAACACTTGAATTCCACATCAATGGTGTTGAACACCATGTGCTGGAAATCATAAGTCCTATTAATTTTAAGGACAGAGTCTGTTATGCACACATGATGAAGGTCGGCACTGGGACATACACATCATCACTTTTTTTTTTTTTAAATACTGTTATTGTGCTATACATGCACGACATCTACTGCATTTTTACAGCAACTCACTCTTCCTCTTCCTTCTGGCAATCAGAACGATAGCAAGGATCAAAACTGATGCTATACAAAGCAAACCAATGATAAGCATGTAGAAGAATATTCCAGAGCCTGCCGAGAAAAAACAAAAGAAATACATTATTTCAAATATTACTCTGTCCTAATATGTACCCGGTAAACGTGGGGATGCTAAGTCAGCTTGTAAAAATGACTTCTTTCAGAAAGTTTGAGACCCCTGCCCTGGACTAAAAAGAGCCTTTCCTTCCGACATTAGGGGGGCCAGGTGGTGGCCAAGGGGAGTAGAAAATGCCCTAGAATTGATGTAAATAATGACTCAGGCTTGGTGGTCAGTGGGATTAAAAAAACATATACATTATCTCCCAAAAGTGAGTCCACCCCTCACATTTTGGTAAATATTAAATTCTACCTTTTCATGTGACAATACTGAAGAAATGACACTTTGCTATAATGTGACGTAGTGAGTGTACAGCTTGTATAACATGTAAATTTGCTGTCCCCTCAAAACAACTCAACACACATCCATTAATGTCTAAACTGCTGGCAACAAAAGTGAGTCCACCCCTAAGTGACAATGTCCAAATTGGGCCCAATTGGCCATTTTCCCTCCCCGGTGTCATGTGACTTGTTAGTGTTACAAGGTCTCGGGTGTGAATGGGGAGCAGGTGTATTAAATTTAGTGTTATCGCTCTCACTCTCTCATACTGGTCACTGGAAGTTCAACATGGCACCTCATGGCAAAGAACTCTGAGGATCTGACAAAAAAAAATTATTGCTCTACATAAAGATGGACAAAACTGGCTATAAGAAGGTGCCAATTGACCATACAGAAGATTGCCAAGACCTCAGAAACTGAGCTGCAGCACGGTGGCCAAGACCATACAGCGGTTTAAAACAGGACGTATGAGTGCTGCCAGCATAGCTGCAGAAGTTGAAGGGGTGGGGGGTCAGCCTGTCAGTGCTCAGACCATACGCCGCACACTGCATAAAATTGGTCTGCATGTCTGTCTTCCCAGAAGGAAGCCTGCAAACAGTTTGCTGAAGACAAGCAGACTAAGGACATGGATCCTGTGGTCTGATGACACCAAGAGATTCATTCAGATGGTGTCAAGCGTGTGTGGCGGCAACCAGGTGAGGAGTACAAAGACTAGTGTGTCTTGCCTACAGTCAAGCATGGTGGTGGGAGTGTCACGGTCTGGGGCTGCATGAGTGCTGCCAGCACTGTGGAGCTACAGTTCATTGAGGGAACCGTGAATACCAACATGTACTGTGACATACTGAAGTAGAGCATGATTTCTTCCCTTTGGAGACTGGGCCGCGGGGCAGTATTCCAACATAACGACCCCAAACACACCTCCAAAACTTTCACTGCCTTGCTAAAGAAGCTGAGGGTAAAAGTGATGGACTGGACAAGCATGTCTCCAGATCTAAACCCTATTGAGCATCTGTAGGGCATCCTCAAATGGAAGGTGGAGGAGCGCAAGGTCTCTAACATCCACCAGCTACGTGATGTCTTCATGGAGGAGTGGAAGAGGACTCCAGTGGCAACCTGTGAAGCTCTGGTGAACTCCATGCCCAAGAGGGTTAAGGCAGTGCTGGAAAATAATGGCGGCCACACAAAATATTGACACTTTGGGCCCAATTTGGACATTGTCACTTAGGGGTGGACTCACTTTTGTTGCCAGCGGTTTAGACATTAACCACTTGAGCTCCTGAGGATTTACCCCCCTAATGACCAGGCCTCTTTTTGCTACTTTGGCGCTGCACTAATTCAACTGATAATTGCACGGTCATGCAAAGCTGTACCCAAACGAAATTTACATTCTTTTTTTCACACAAATAGAGATTTCTTTTGGTGGTATTTTATCACCTGTGCGCTTTTTATTTTTTGCGCTATAAACAAAAAAATACAAAAAGTTTGAAAAAAAAACAATATTTTCTACTTTCAGCTATAAAAAATATATTGTAAACTCAAAGTTAGTCATAAATTTAAGCCAAAATGTATTATGCTACATGTTTTTGGTAAAAAAAATCCCAATAAGTGTATATTGATTGCTTTGTGTGAAAGTTATAGCGTCTACAAACTATGGTATAGATACTGTAATTTATGCCTTTTTTTGCTATACAGCGCTGCACTAATGCAAATGATAATTGCGCGGTCATGCAATGCTGTACCCAAACAAAATTTACGTCCTTTTTTTCAAACAAATAGAGCTTTCTTTTGGTGGTATTTTATCACCTGTGCGATTTTTATTTTTTGCGCTATATAAAACAAAAAAAACACTAAAATTTTGAAAAAAAACATTATTTTCTACTTTCAGCTATAAAAAATATATCGTAAACTCAAAGTTAGTCATAAATTTAAGCCAAAATGTATTCTGCTACATGTTTTTGGTAAAAAAAAATCCCAATATAGTGTATATTGATTGCTTTGTGTGAAAAGTTATAGCGTCTACAAACTATGGATAGATTCTGTAATTTATGCCTTTTTTTGCTATAAAGCGCTTGCACTAATTCAAATGATAATTGCAGCGGTCATGCAATGCTGTACCCAAACGAAATTTACGTCCTTTTTTTCACAAAATAGAGCTAAACACTTTTGGTGGTATTTGATCACCTGTGCGCTTTTTATTTTTTGCGCTATAAAACAAAAAAATACAAAAATTTTGAACAAAAACAATATTTTCTACTTTCAGCTATAAAAAATATATCGTAAACTCAAAGTTAGTCATAAATTTAAGCCAAAATGCATTCTGCTACATGTTTTTGGTAAAAAAAATCCTGTGCATTAGCGGGCAAACTGGCGCTATCTGGGAGGGGCGCTAACAAAATCGGAATTCGCCAATGACACTGATACAGTGATCAGTAAAAAATCGGTTCACTGATCAGTGACACTGGTGACAGGGCAGTGAAGGGGTTAACTGGGGGGGGGAGAGATTAAGGGGTTAAATGGGATTACTGGTGTTCTAGCGGGCAAAACTGGCGCTATCTGGGAGGGGCGCTAACACTATCGGAAGTCGCCAATGACACTGATACAGTGATCAGTAAAAATCGGTTCACTGATCAGTGACACTGGTGACAGGGCAGTGAAGGGGTTAAACTGGAGGGGGGCGATCAAGGGGTTAAACGGGATTACTGGTGTACTGGCGGGCAATCTGGCGCTATCTGGGAGGGGCGCTAACACTATCGGAAGTCGCCAGCAACACTGATACAGTGATCAGTAAAAATCGGTTCACTGATCAGTGACACTGGTGACAGGGCAGTGAAGGGGTTAACTTGGGGGGGGGGGGGGGTTATACAAGCGGGCGATCAGGGGGTTAAAAGTGTCCTAGAGTGTTCTAACTGTGGGTATGTGCTGTTTTACTCACAATTTATATGTCTTCTTCTCTGTCTGGAACGGAATGTGTCCAGGCAGAGAAGAATGACATCATATCCTGTCCTGTGTAACTGTCAACACAGGACAGGATAGGACAGGGACCGATCATCTGATTTCAGCCAGACATCACTGGCTGAAATCGAATGATTGATCCTTCCCGGATCAAATGGTGTCACCCGTGGGTCGGCGGGAGCACGCGCGGGCCCCCTGCCCGCAAAAAAAACGTTAGGAGCGCGGAGCCCGTTTTAAAACGTGCTTTTGCGCCCCAGTGCCGCCCTGCACACGTATATATGCAGTGGCAGGGCGGCAAGTGGTTAATGGCTGTGTGTTGAGATATTTTGAGGGGACAGCAAATTTACACTGTTATACAAGCTGTACACTCACTACGTCACATTGTAGCAAAGTGTAATTTCTTCAGTGTTGCCACATGAAAAGATAGAATCAGAATCAAATATTTACAAAAATGTGAGGGGTGTACTCACTTCTGGGAGATACTGTGTGTGTGTGTGTGTGTATATATATATATATATATATATATATATATATATATATATATTTTTATGTTTTTTAAAACAACTAGTGCACATTCCTAAATTTGACTTGACTCTTGAAATTCCCTATACAGCAGGCTGGAAAAGGGAGGAGTAGGACTGGGATCCAATCAAGCGTTTTGCATTTAATTTTAAATGCTCTGTCGTGGAACATGTTATTAGAAGGAGAGAGTGAGCAGAGGGATGACCTCATCAGTATTCTTTCTGCTGCTCTTTCACCAACCAGTTAGGAGGCTGGGGGTGCAGAGAGGACATCGCCTAATGTCTTCTACAGTCTATAACGAACAGTAAAAGTAGTCATGCATCAGACTATGCTGTATAAATCAGGACTGGATGGACATAAATACAAATCCTTTAGCAAGTAAAGTGGCCCCCATATTTTATATTTAGATGTGTGTTTAGGGGGTTTGCCTGGAGTTTAGCTGTAAAGAGATACTGTCTTTGCAACACAAGTGTCCAAATGAAAATCTATTACACTGGTAATGTGTTTTTTCTTCAGCTTACTTTTAATAGCTTCAGCTGGTGCGTTATCGTTCACAACATTACTGGTAAATGGGTATGCAGGAACTGAGCTTGCATGAAACTTCCTGGGTTGCTTTGTCCTGGCAATGGCTGAGTCATCTTCACTGGAAGTTCCTATTGTGTAAAAAAAAAAAAAATTATATATATATAACACATGGACAAGACAATATGTGCATGCAAAATGTAGGAAGTAATGACACTGCAAACCGTCATTAGCAAAACAATAAAGTATTGACAGACATTAGGAAAGAAGATTATGATTTAAACAAAAAAAAACAAAACACTTTCTTCAAATATATTCTATAGTCTTGATTCAAACACCAGGATATGAATTATTATTTTTAAGAATTATATCTTTTTTTTGGTTTATGAAAAACTATATGGGATTTAAAAAAAAAACAAGTTTTAGCCATATATACAATTTTACCAGTTTTGCTCTTTTTATTGTTTGGATGAAACCAGACTTTTTTTTTTAAGGTATTGTTTGAAAAACCTATTTTATTTTCTATGAAATCTATAGACAAATAGACGTAAAAAACAAATATGGAGAAATGTGTTTTTTTTTTTTTACCAGCGTTCCTTTCAAAGAAAGGAGTTTCACCATAAATATAAAGTACACATTTTATTTATATTTTATGTATATGTCCCCAAAAAACAATGTTAAATTATTTAGATGGGAGATTAATGAAGCTGCCCAATATATTCTAGGCATCTAAGCCATCATTTCTCAAACTTTTTACCCCCAGAGGAATCCTTGAATAAAATTGTAGTGTCTCACGGAATCACCACTAAATTTAAGTCATGGAGGGTCAGTGGAAAGAAGGCCTCCTATATTGGTGTTTAGTAAGAAGAATGCTCCTTACATTGGTGCTCAGTGGAAAGAATGCCTCTTACATTGGAGGCCAATGGGAAGAATGCTTCTTACATTGGTAGCCGGTGGGAAAAATATCCCTTACATTGTAGGCCAGTGGGAAGAATGTCCCCTTACATTGGGGGCCAATGGCAAGAATGACCCTTACATTGGTAGCCAGTGGGAAGAATGCCCTTTACATGAGTGGTCAGTGGGAAGAATGCCCCTTACACTGATCCGTGGGAAAAATGCTCTACGTTGGTGCTAAGTGGGAAGAATGTCCCTTACATTGGTGGTCAGTGGCAAGAATGCTCCTTACATTGGAGGCCAATGGGGAAAATGCCTCTTACATTCAGTGAGAAGAATGCTTCTTACATTAGTGATCAAAGTAGGATGCCCCCCTTACAGTGGCAATCAGAATTCACCCTTACAGCCAATTAAAATTTCATCGGGGTCCTGCTGTTGGCCAAGTAACATTGAACCTGAAACTATCCAGGTACCAACAGCCACAGCTCAAGCAACCTATAACGGAATCCCAGTTGAAAATAGCTGAACTAAACTTTAATGACCGCCAGTGATATAGGGGTGTAGCCTTAGAAAAG